ACCTGAAAATGCAGGCACTAGAGTTATCTTTCTATATGGGAGATAGCTGGAAACTTTATTTCTGGATATTTCTCTTTGAGTGTATTGTTGAGTGTCTTCTAATAGTTCCAATTTGAGAAGGATCATTTCATAGAAATACTTAAGAATTTACATACACCTTATTTTGGTTACTTAAAATGTTACTGGCTTCTGAAAAATAAATATTTGTTTTGAAACAGAGGACAAATTTTGGCCTTTTGTCTGACATACATCATAGTAGAGTGTGAAGTCTTCCAAAGTGCCTAATATGTGCACAGTCTTCATAAAATTAATGTTTGACTTTGTCATTAGTAATGGCGTACCAAGGTATTAAAATACATCGTTTAACTTTATTTTCAAAGTTTTAGTCAATAGAATAGTTTTAAAGCACTTGTAGGTCTTTAAATAAAATTTATAAAACTGATTTTGCTAGTTATAGGCAGAACCAACAACAAAAGGAAACTGGGGCTAACAATGAGAAAATAAGGATTAAGTTGAAGAGATTTTCTTAATTGTCATTCACACAAACTATGTACTTTTAGAAGCTGAAGATCTTTCAGTGTTCAAAGGTGAGCCATAATCTAAAATGGAATGTGTCATAAAAGTAACATACTACTATATCACCATGCATTAGTTTTGAAACTACTTGCCTTTGAAGGTAATTTAGGAAGCTGTAGCTTCTACATTTTAATTAAGGGCTTTCAACCAAAAGAGTAAACATGAACTATAGCTTTGTTTTTCTTTATTTGAATGCCAAAACTGCATTTTTAAGAGACTGGCAAGCAAAAAGGGAAAACAAATGATTAGCAGGGCCTAAATTTATTTGCAAGTGGCTAGAATATCTTGAAAATAAGCCATTATTCTATTACAGTACTTTGAAAGATGAGCCTGGCAAGTCTAGAGAGAGCCAGGAAACCTCTGTAATTCTGTCATTCGAAGGGGAGCAGCATGAAATGTCATTGTATGTGATTTTTAGGCACTCAAATTTTGAGATGTTTTTGTTGATGCAACCTGCTTGGTAAGGGTGATATGCAACTGGAGTTTTATCATTCATGGATCTCACCTGCATATCTAATTGGAAAACCCCCCTTCTAAAAGCTTAAGACACTAGCAGAATTTTAATTGGGAAGCTGGGTTTTCAGAGGCCTTTGCTGCTTTGCTTTCAGAATCCAGGACTAAAGTCAATCAGATATTTACCATCATTTTTCTGCAAGTGAATAGTACAGGAAATAGATTAAATGTGCCTTCCACTACCCACGCCTCCTGAGGTTACTGATTCCCTGTAACCGGCCCATGTAGTAATTTGTTATCCCAGTAGAAAAATCTAGAAATATTTTAGGTGCTTTGTTCATTTCATTTGATTAACATGACATCCTTAAAACATCATTAAGTGATCCAGAAATTTGTGGAGGGATAATGATAATTTATATAAACTGTCCCAAAGCCGCTGAATATCATTATCCATTTTATCTTCATGGTTTTGTCCTCTGAGATAACATTTATCAGGTCAAATTTAATTATGATTATATTCTCACTTAGACTCTAAAATGGTAAAAAATAAATAAATAAATACTGAATATAGTAACATGCATTTTTCCCAATTACTGTCACTCCTCATCTGAGATCTGAGTCCTTTGAAGAAGAAAGTTCTGTTCACATACACTATTCATGTTAAATTTAGCATAGGATTTCTTTTGACCAAAAGTTCATTTTATTTTGAAGGGAATGTTGAAACACAACCAAACTTTTAAGCTTGATCCAAAATCAGGATTGCTGTATTTGGCAACTCAAAATACACAAGGCCTAGGAAGATTTAAATCGGTTCTCATTTCTTATACACATCTATGCAAAGATGCTTATGCACATAGAGATGTGAATGTTTTGTAAAGTGTTTTTTTTAACCCCTGAGTCATAGGCGATTAGAAATAGTTAAAATGCTTTAAGAAAGTACTTTCTTTCCTGTTGGTAGTTTACTTATGCTCCACCTTGCACATCCTTAAAAGGAGTGTTTGAAAGCTACTCAAGGATAATTACTTTTTCTCTGTTATCTACACTGATTTCTTTTGTAATTTCCTGGAGCTGTGTCCCTTCAAATAGTACTATCCTGTGGTCATGCCTATAATTAGTGATGAATTCCAATTCAAAACTCCCTGTAGAAACAGCATCTCAAAATTGGCACTGCTGGGTGATTCTAAAGAAAACAATGTTATTCTTTGCATGACTCCAAACCTCGGACCTTTCCCTCTGAGGGATATATGCTACCGTTATAGCTCTCTATATTGCTTCAACAGCCTCTTTATTTTACCCTCCTGTCTATCCCTAGGAATTTTTCTCACCATCTTTCATCTCTCTAGAGTGTATTTGTCTATACTGTCCACCTATTCAATTCAGTATCTTTTTTGTTCCTGCCACCGTCTGTCTTTGAATTTATCCCTGTAGCTCACTGTAAGAGGCTTGGATTCAGTTAAACTTTAGTAGCATTTCTTTTTTTTTTTTTTTTTTTTTTTTTTTGGATTTTTACCGGTACCAGGGATTGAACTCATGACTGCCTGCTTGCAAGGCAGGCGCTTATGCCGCTGAGCTAAATCCCCAGCCCCTAGTAGCATTTCTTGACCAACTGCTTGAAATCACGAAATGTGTTTGGAGCCATTCTGCGGTTTAAAGTAAAAATCAAAGGAGAGTTAATAAAATATGTAAAGTCTTGGGAAGGAAGTATCATTACCCAAACCCATTATATGAAGCATGGCATAGGTCTGTTTTCAATCTCAAATCACCCCGCTCACATCTTCCTGCTATGACCTTTCACATAGCCTGTTTGTATCAGAAGATTATAGGAGCTAGGCATTATGCTGAACAAGTGTTACTTAAGTCAGGAAGGAGGACCTGCATGATAGACAGTGGGAAATTATGAACATCGCAGAGAGAAAATCCTGAATATAAGATTAAGAGAGGTTTAATTAGAGTGTATATTCAGGAATTTTGCTATAGTTTAAATATTGGCAGCCCCGCCTCCTCAATCCATATGTTGAAATCTAATGCCCATCATGGAGGGATGAGATTAGGTTCAGCAGAACACACATGTATAGGATTAACTGTCGTGGGGAACGTGGTTGCCCTTTCCATCATGGGAGGACACAGAAGGCGTCATCTCAGAAGGAGACAAAGAGCCCTCACCAAATATCAAACTTGCTGGCATCTTGGACTTTCCAGCCTGCTGAATCCTGACCAAGAAATTACTGTGGTTTGTATAGTGCCATTTTAAAATACTGGATTATACAAACAAGAGTAAACCAAGAAAAATTTAAATCTAAGAAAATGTCCTTTATCTATGTTTAGATAAAAGGCATTCATAGCAGAGAAGGGTTTAGGTAAAAGCAGAGGAAAACACCTTGAAAGGGATGTTAACAAGTAAAATACATTCTCAAGAATATCACTGCTCAGAGGATAATAGGACTGAGCCTTTAAACTTCATTCAACTATTTGGTCAGCTCTGCAGATAGGAGTGTGCATGTGTATGTGTGTACTTAGATATTCTTATATATAATCATTTTGTGTGTGTATATATATATATATATATATAGGTATAACATATATATGTATATATATATGTTAAATACATATATACATGTATATGTTATATACATATGTATAGTTATATACATGTATACATATGTTATATACATATATATATATATGTTATACCTATTTTTTCTTCTCTTTGGGGGAGTAGATGCAGTAGATTATTATACTTTAAGAAATAATCATTTAACTCATCCTTTTATTCTAATTTCATACCCCAAAAGCCACTTATAGATCACAATTTTGGCTTCCCATTTGTATTTTTAACAAGGCATCATACAAATAAAGATTTATTTATTCAGTAATTAAATTTTCATAAAGCTTCCTAAATAGTTCAGTAAATGATTGCGTTATTTTGTAAAGTTAGAATATTGTACAGCAACAAAGGTAAATGAGCAAGAGAAATTTACAAACACTTGGATAAATCTTAAAACAAAGTCACAGATAATCGCAAGTCACAGTAAAATGCATTTGATATGATAACATTCCTGTAAGTTTACAAACATGTTAGGCAATACAGTTTAGGAATGCTTATACATATATAGTAAACCTCAGATGGAAAAGTGTTTACATCAGAATAAGGAACAACAGAAAACAAGGATATGACAATGCATGCGCACACAATTCCAGTTAAATACCGAACATTTAGTGTCTTTTCCTGGTGGTATCTACACATTGTTCATTGTTACATTATGAATATTTGGTATTTTTCAGTAGATCTAACCAGGTAATACTAACACATATGTATATGTATATGGTTTTCATTTTACTCCCTTGGAAACTTGGTTGGTCTTACTTCATTCTTTCAAAGATTCTGCTTCTGCAAATTGAAAATAAGGCCAGGTATGCAATCCCCACATCAAAGTGCTCCTAGTAATTTTCTAGGTACTGCCATCATCTGGTCACCCTAAAAACCAATAGCTACATGGGCTAGTACCACTAGAATGAGTTGTTAATATCTCATCTTGATAACACAAAAGAAATTTAGTGATAAAATGCTCAAGGATTTACAGAATACATGTTCTCTAGTATAAAATCTAGTAATATTAATTTATAATTACACAGCTTGTTTCAAGTTAATCAACTGTACTTATCTATAATAAAATTAAATCATTGCAAACATTTAAAATATATTATCATATTTTAAAATGTAGTTGCTTAATAGCCTTGTATTATTTGTAAAATATTTTGGACTTCTTTGATGATTTTTAATATATCTGTCATCTCTCACTGGAGTCATGTGGTAGAAGTGCTATGGGTCTATTAATAGAGTTTCTATTATCTCACTAAATCCCTAAGTCCTGGTTCTTAGCACTTGTCAATAGAAAATTTGTTTCAGAAACTTCAGAATTAACCAGCTAATTAGTATAACTAATCCAATAGAACTTAATTTATATACTTACCATTGAGAGTGCTTCTATCAATCAAATTTGTATCAACTGGCCAGTAACCTCCATCTCCATGACGACCTGTTTATTCGAGAAGGCATGTCAGAAGGTTAGTGAGTGTATCCCAGGAAAACACAAAGGAAACAAAATGAACAGACAAAATGAGCAAATATTTTGAAATACAAAGTAACTGAACAAGATTATTTTGCCCACTTCAAGAAAGTCAGACATTATTAACACCATCATACCTGTGAGAAAACGATATTTTGTATGTGTGAGAAAAATTTTTCATATGAACAGATTCAGTGTTTACTGTCATTCATCTAACACAACTTTGTGACAAGTTCCCGTTATTGTCCTCTCAGGAAACAACACGTTTTATCTTATACCACAGCTGTGAGGGCTTTTAAAATTCTTAATGTGCCAAACAAAATGTTGGGAATAAGATGCGAGATGGAGAGTAAAGGGTCAAGGGAAGGTGTCAACCTACGTAGTGTGATTGTTTCTTACACGTAACATCACCAAACCGAAAAAAAAAAAAAAAAAAAAAAAAAAAAAAAAAAACTCTCCTTCAAAGTTATGTTGCTGGAAATATTGCCTCCTGGATAGGTGTTTAACAGTTGTGAAAGCAGTATTTAAGAGATTTGAATGAGGAGTTAGCCAGAAGTAATTACACTATCATCCAAAATTAATTTATTAATTAATTTGGTACCAGGAATTGAACTTACAACCTTGCACTTGCCAGAGAGGTGCTTATGTCCCTGAGCTATATCCCCACTCCTCCAAAATTTAACTAATGTTGTCTTACTATAAGTAATTCTTTTCATTGATCCATGAGTAAACTGTAATGTTTGATTAGAATTAGAATTTTAGAGTATCTAGGTAGGCTACTTATAGAAAAATGTTACAGAGAAAACACTATATACAAACACCAAATACAATTTATTCCCCACTTTATTTCCTTCAATAGGATTTAAGAAGTTCTAATCAGTAGATAATGTAGAGAAATTAATGGGATCAGTTAGCTATGACAACAGATTGTTTTCTCCTATTTAAGGATTTCACTTTCCTTCATTTTTATGACTATAAAGTTCTAGTCTTATGAAATTTTTTTTTGCTTTTCATATCCAATATTCCTTTTATTAAAGCTTTCCAAAGATCTCATTATTTGCAGAAGAATCATGAAGAAAAACCTGAAAATTCTATTCACTGACTATCCACTCACAATTTTTAATATTTTTGTTGAAAAGTCACAATTAATGTTAGAATCAATATCAAGATTCCACCAAGCAATGAAAAATCCAATAACATCTGGTTATACTAAATGGCACAGTTAAAGTCTGGTGGGCCAATGACTGTGAGCTCACAAGACAGTTGTAGAGGTAGATGTAAGAACAACTGAAATGAAGAGAAATTAGAAATATTTCAGGCTCTGACTAAAATGTAGACAAGCCCTTTAACCAAGTACCACTGTGCTTATGTAACTCTGACACATTTGAAGTTTCAATGAGAACAAAGTGAGCTTTGCCTGTGGGACACTGAGATCAATGCTGGAAGAAACGAAGTGAGACAGAAGTCCTGTATGAATATTAAGATGATTTTTTTTCACAACTGAAAGCAGCTAGATTGCAAAGCAGTCAGCCAAAAGAGATGCTAACAACCTCATCACTCAGGGCAGTAAAAGCAGTAAATGATTCCTGTTGAGAGTAATCCTGTATTGGCTGGAAATTAGGTAGTTAGCCTATGGAGGGTTTTCCTTTTCCTCTAGCTTCCTGACAAATGCCTTTTTAATGAAGCTTCTAACTCTCCCCTCTAACTCCTGGGTGGAAGAGAAAATAAGCCCACAAGCCAATCCATATATACTGTAGATGTAAAGTTTTATAGGTTTTGGACTCCTTATCTAGGCAGGCTATTGGTTGCATTGTTAACTTCAATAGATAACATACAGATCATAGTTCTAGTAAGATAAAGGAACTCCGGGAAAGCCTCTAAATGAATGAGTGACTTAAAAATTGGACATTGTACACATAGAAGCTAATGTATTAACAAGGCTTAACATGTATAGGTTATAATTAATTGATATCACAAAAGAAAATTAATTAACTTTTAACAAATTCCATAGAAAGTGCTTAAGGAAACTTAATATCATCAATGAACAAGCCTGGATTTATGATAATTTAGATTTCTTGTACCACTTCAATGGGAAAACGCAAAACACATTTCTGTGTTGATGAGTTTGGATATTTTGATGTAAAGAAAAAGGGATCAATTTTTAATTTTGTGCACTAAGTTTCCACTCTCTGAAATATGTCTTTTAAATTTCAGGAAGGCTTCATTTACAGAAACATAGTAAATTAATTACAATGGTAGATTCTCTTTCTATTGTAAGATAGGCACCATAAAGTTATCAAGTGAGGAGATACTGCAGACTGAAGAGGACACGGTATTGGATGACACTGCAGAGCAAGTTAAGTTTTATAAAGGGCTGTTGCTATGGAACAATATTTGATGTGTTCAGTTAACATAGTTAATTTCATAAGCTCTGCTTTAGAGGAGCAGAGGAGTAATTAGTATTTGGAAGATGGTTGGACTGAAAGTTAGTTAATGCAAAGATATAAACCACTGTCCTATCCCAGAGGTCCTAATTTTATTAAAGCACATTAAACTGGAAATAATTTATTCAACATTTATTAAATGCCTACTATATGAAAATCACCCCTTAGATCCTCAGGGAAAAGAGTATAAATGATACATTAGATATGGAACCTGCTAAAACAGATGAGTGAGTTCACATTATCTAGAGCCAAAACAAGCTCATTCATAATTAATATTAGCCTACTGCACATAGTTTTTAATTTACTCTGAATTTAAAGATTTAAGAATAACTTGCTCCATCTATTACTACAAAATCACTGTTAGATTGGGGTTTTCTTTTACTTACAATCACCAAAAGAACTACCTACAATTAAATACATTATATTATTTTCTGTGGTATTATACTATACTTTCTGTAACTATATTTACTTTTAAATCCCTATTTACCTTTTTAATATAATATAGTAAAACTATGAATTTGTTTGAGATTAATCTTTTCAATAATTAAATTCATTTATTGAATATTTAAATGTAACTGTTTTTGGAAATAATGTAACTTCAGTGTCTACTCTTTATTCAAAGTTAGTGTGGCTCCAAGAACTGAAAATGATAGTTCCTTTTTATATAAATAATATCATGATTTTATATGAACACAGTGTTCAAAATGTTCTACATAAATATCATTATAGAGATTATAAATAATGCTATTCTATATTAATATACATCCATGTTTTATTAACATAAACAGTAGTAAAGAAATAACGAAGATGATGAAAAGCAATGATTTTATGTACCACTTCACTATGAAGAATTATTTTATATAAATGTCTCTTCTCAGGTAGATCCTAACTAGAAATTTCACACTACTTATTCTATGATTTTTGAAAATTGAGCTACAAAGTTAAGGAGTTACCTTTCATATTTTATTTAAAGACCAGATTTTAAAATGAGTTATCTTGTCATCTTTATGACAGGAGCAATATGCTTGGATAGAAGCTAAAACCCCCATACTTTCCTGCCATGTTCTCCGAATTGAGGAAAGTGATCAACAGAAACAATGTGCCCACCTTTAGCGAATGTGGCCCTTGTTCTATTATTTGGTGCTTACCAAAGGGAGACATATGCTGTTTTCTCTATGTCTGATGAGTGCCTGATGTGAGTTAGGATATTTTGTGATGCATTAATTCCCTGTACACTTTTAAAGTTTTTCTGTGTAGATGTTTATATATTCAAGGAGGAGACAGTGGAAAGTTAGTCTATTAGGACACGAAAGAAACTGGATGTGGTGAGTGTAATTTTCATCTGTCCTTTCTGAATGGTGATAATAGAGAGGGTTCTCCAGATCAACATCTGCACTATCAATCCCTCGAGAAATATCTATGGCCCCAAACTGAAGTCAAATAGTGAGTATCTAACAAGCATTCGATATCAATCCTTCCAAGGGTGCAGAGCACAGATCTATCTGCTTGATTGTAGAATTGGTTCTCTGAGTTTAATTCCGGTGATAATGATGACAATTGCTTCCATTTTTTAATTTTTTTAATTTTTATTTACCTATTTATTTTTTTTTGTGCTAGGGATCGAACTCAGGACCTCCTACTTGCCAGGCAGGCACTTTTGCCACAGGGCTAAATTCCTGGTCCCCCAAATTATTTTCTTTAGTCTTTTCTTTTTCCCTTGGGTCCAGGGATCGAACTCACACCTTTACACTTGCCAAACTTATGCTGCTGAGCTAATTTCCCGGCTGCATTGATTTTTTGTCTTCCATATCAGTGGACAAAGAAAGTCTGTTAACATCACTCCAGTAGAGTTTTGTTGTCCAACACACAAATCCTATTGAGAAACATTTCAAGTAGATGATTTGTCAGGGGCTGGAAAACACATGTAAGAGATCACTTTTATCATGTATTTGACAACATTACTGACTATGAATAAAAGTATCAGGGCATCAAAAACCAGGAAGCAGAATAATACTTAGGATAGATTAAAAATATTAGTAGAAAAAGAAGTAATGAACTCTCTTCACTTTTTCATAGAGTCCAACATATTAGCTTCAAATAAACATAAAGTTCATTGAATGATTTAAAATTCTTTTGGCATGAGCAGTTAATATGCCTACTATTAAGCCTACCATATTAAGCCTTATTGTTCAACAAATTCTTATTTTCTTCAAAACCCCTGGATGTTTTTGCCCACCTGCAAAAAAGTCAAGAGCAGTAATTTGCATAACAGTAATGAATTTAGTAAGCTGTCTGGGTCCCCAGTTTTGGTCACCAACAGATCTGTGGCCTGTTAGGAACCAGGCTGCCCAGTAGGAGGAGAGTGGAGGATGAGTGAGCAATCCTTCATTTCTAGTTAAAGCCTCTTCCTATTGCTGGTATTCCCACTTAAACTCTGTCTCCTATCAGATCAGTAGTAGCATTACATTCTCACAGGAACATGGATCCTCCTATGAATGGTACATACCAGGATCTAGGCTACATATT